TGAATAAATACCATCGACCCATAAGATACTGATAAAAAAGTCTTTAACAAATTGTAAATTTTGTTTAATTTGTGTGACTAAAGGTTTTCTATTGCTTGAAAGAAGCTAATGAATAAAGATCAATACATACAGCTATAAGGAAAAGACAAACACTGTTTTTTAGTCATGTGATAAAGGGAGAGACTTTGGAGAATATTGTGACAACTGGGAATATCAACGGCAGAAGAGGGCGAGGCAGACCGAGAAAGACGATGACAGATGGACTGTGACAGTGGCATTGAGGGATATTATCTGTGGAACTGATCCAGAAAACAAGGGACAAAGATCTGAGGAGAGAAGTAGAAAAGAAGAAGACAGTTTTCCTGGTTTCAAAAAAGACTTAGAGAGAGAGAGAGAGAAAGAGAGACAGACAGACAGACAGACAGACAGACAGACAGACAGACAGACAGACAGACAGACAGACAGACAGACAGACAGACAGACAGACAGACAGACAGACAGACAGACAGACAGACAGACAGACAGATAGATAGATAGATAGATAGATAGATAGATAGATAGATAGATAGATAGATAGATAGATAGATAGATAGATAGATAGAGACAGACAGACAGAGGGAAAACCTGCTTAACCAAGAAAGAGTTAACCATTAACAAACATGAAAAAAAAATTATGTTGGCAATCTTACATTAACTGATCTTCCAATTACTGCTCATTATTTTTGTGCAAAACAAGCCATCTGTTTGCTAGCTGCACCTCTGATGTTTCCATAACGACTGATAAATTAAATGTACATGAAGAAAGCTAAACAACGTATATTCATCCACAATACGTTACAAAACTGTAAAGCTTCAATACATGTTACAGCAGGTCTATAATGCACTTGTTAATCTGAAAACAATCATGCAATATTAATTTAACGCTATAAATCAGCAAAAAACATTAGTCATTCGTTGTTAACAAAAAGTGTAACACTATAAATCAGCGAAATGGCTTACTCAATTTTCCTCTGTTAAAAATTAAACACTATAAAGCAGTGAAGCGCACATTTTTTTCTATTTTGACTAGTTTTGGCGGTATAAAATCATTTAGGTACTATTTTCTTCCTGTCAACAACTAGTCTAACAAGGTAGGTAAGTAGGTAGTTGTACCCAACTAAAACATCACACAAGCGATAAACACCCGGTGACACAATGTTCCACCATGCGTATGAGGATCACCCATAGAGAGGTCCCAGAAACCCCTTTCAGCCGTTATGGCCATATCTATGGCCTAGGCCATATTTATGGCTCGGCTATATTCAGGGCCCCCGGCAAAGGTCAGGGTGGGGCTTCAAAAATAACAACAAAATGGCATCCCACATGGGGATGACTTTTCAAATACGTGTATGTCTAACAACATAAATTGATGGAGTACACCATTTTGTCTGTATACTGGTTTTCGTTTAATCACTGAAATACATTCTTCTGCCTCTGTAAACAACTAGTTTGAAAACTATAAATCTGTGAAGTATTCTTTCTCTGTTAACAACTAGTTTAACATTATAAATCGCCACAATAAATCATTCTCATTTTCAGTTAACACCTTCTTCTCTTATGATCAAGGGTTATGATATTTTCTGCATACACCAGTTTTTTAATGTGTTCTGACTATTCAAAAATAATATTAATTTTGTTTAACCCTTTGGAGACGGAGCTTTGTTTGCAGTTTCAGTGCCAAAAAGATGAAGCCTTCAGGGAAGAATTCTCTAAGTTTACATACTAAAAATTATAAAAAATAAAGGGCGTAAACAATATATAAAAAAAACTACACATATCTGAAAAGGAAAATTAATTGACTAACAGAATATGTATGAATCAAACTGAAATCTCAACATTTATTCAAATTAATTGTTATGATTTGCAGGTATTTTTTTTTTTAAACGTGGGATCAAACATGACTAACCTGAAAAATTTAGCTGAACTTGTTTATGGATGAAGCCTGAATAAGTCCTAAGATTTGTGTTTTAGAGAAATAGGGCTTGTGGAGGCCGTTCAGAGACATGGTTCTGCTCATTTTCATGCCTTCTACTATGTTTCAGTTGCTATGACACAACAGGCCTTTTCGCCATCGTTGGGCACAGGTAAGCCCACACATAAAATCGCTGTAAAATTACAGAACACATCAAGCTTTCTCAAAAGCCGTAATTAAACAGCCCACATGTGCAAGAAATGGGAGGAGCAATCTGATTGGCTGGTACGAAAACCTGCCAGCCAATCTCAAGGCCTTTATTACACAGGGCTGACTGATCGACCAAGCCATCCTTTTTGGCTACTTTGCACTGGGCCGATATTTTGACTGTGGCGTCTCCAGAGGGTTAAATTATTTTTCAGCTGATGACGGTTATCTCCCCCTGACACAAAATTACCAAGACAAAAAATAATTGCATTGTTTGTGACTCATTTCTGCCTGAAACTATTTGCATGTCCATTGTGATTTATGCAAGGACGTTATTTATCCTATTTGTGGGATTTATAAACAACTGGATACAACTTATTTATTATTTCAAATGACATTATTTTCTAGATTAATCTAATATTTTACAGAATTTAAAAAAAAAATAAGGATTATTTATACAATTGTATTTAAAAGGAAATTAGAGGATTATTGCTTGGATTGTTATTTATTTAATAGAATTTAGAGGATCACTGCTTTAAAATATTTCTTTTATTTAATACAAAACACTGGATTACTACTTGAAGATAACTTACAAGATTATTGCTGGAACCATAGTTTCCATGTGCCTTTAACAACACCGCACATATTGTATTATATATATCACACTGGATTTATTTACAAATCATAACATACATATATTGCTTCATTACTTCTTGCATCAATGTAAAGTTATATTCTGCCTGCCATGTTTTTCACAGGAATTTATTGCAGGAATATTGACAGTATCTTGCCAAACATAAAATCTTCCAGTGCAGTTTTGCTCCAACGGTATTCCTGGCTCACTCAAATCTTTGTGACCTTTCTGCTACTGGACTGTTGTTAGTGTAGCCCATCTTTTGAAATCCATATTCCAAAATACCTGCAGGAAGCAAATAAATGTTGAAAAGATACAACAAAAATATAAAGTAGCTAAAGGAGGACACACAACAACAACAACAACAACAAAAACCACAGAAGAGAACTAGAGAGTTAAGTCAAACTGATTGGGAGGACATGGGGTGAGTTGTGATAGCAAAGGACAGAACAACCTTGCATGAGCTTTGAGAGGGCCTATGCTCCAGTGGTGGATAAAGAGCAAAAGAAGAATGTGACCATCTGGTCAGTCCAGGATGTCTTTTGACCAAAACCTGCTTCATCCCCCAAATGTTTGTCAGTGGCATTTGGTTTTCATGTCGCCAGGACCATCAAGCTTAATTCTATGAGGCCAAGCAACAGTGTGAGCGTTGTTTGAGAAGTTCCCTTTTGCCCAAACAACACTGCCATCGTCGAATGTGTGTCCCGTACATTCTGCTTCGCACACGGCTGTGTACTTGTTTCAAATGTTCAGAAGTACGATTAAACTATTCAGGGAAAAGTCACTCTGCTGAAATCCTTTTAGTTTCATTCATTATTTTAGTTCCACGTGTTTAATTTGAACGGAATCGGAACAAAACTTTTTTCAACAGTGCATTTTCCTAAGTTTATTTTTGAGTGAAATGCAAAGCAATGTTTCAACCACTACAGGTCACAGAATGCGTCATTCTGAGGCCGAAGCTCTGAAATTGTTTCAGTCAGATGGTTTTAATTCAGATAATGATAATGAAAATTTAGATTTTTCAGAAAGTGATTCAGACGGTGAATTTTCATCAGCGAAGTTGAGCAATCAGCTGTTATGATAGTAGCGATTCTGATGAGTTTACACAGACAATGTTCCACTGCTGTCGTATTTATGGTGTAAGAAAAGGAAAGTGCTCTAAGCATAGAGACAGTACTATACTATGGCTAAGCTACATTGAAATCATTGCAGCTACATTCTGTATATAACTGTACAAAGTAAATAGTGTGTGTTATGGCCCATTTTTCTGCCATTTGTTCTCTGAAATTTTGCTCAGCACTCTGTGAGAACTAAGAGCCCTTGAGTGCTAAACTAACCCAGCAACATATCATAACTTTAGAATTGGTTAGTAAATTGAACAAACTTTGAAGTTTTGTTCTCAAATTTGGATATTTACTACTCTTGTGGCTGCAAAACCATGGTAAGTGAAGAATTTGCTAGTAAAATGTTGTTCTTGTGAAATTAACACCTGCTGAATAATTCTTTCCTACTAACTATAACAAAATTAAACTAACACTTATCATCAGATTGAAAATGTACACTCATTTCTTTTTTTAAAAATAGATACTTTTATAGGGATTAGAAGTATATTACATTCTCTATTGCCTTTCTTGTACACCCACCCCTCTGCCATTTTTGTAAAGGGAAATTAATGTGGGCTAAGTCTATCAAAATTCATGGGCCTGAAAGAGTTAATAATTTCCCAGGAACTGACAATAACATAATGAATGAATGAATGAAATGACATCACATCACTCAGGGCTTTTCCACATGTGCTCAGTCTTCTTTTTCAGTAGCCAATGAAGAGTTTGCATACTTATTGTGCCAGCTGCACCCTGATAAAGTCTGCCAGTCTTTACCCCTGCAATTTAACACACACACACACACAAACTCTCTGCCCACTAAATCTGTCTTTTGAAATATAGATATCTACTCTGTCTTTTCTACCGCACTGTCCACCTGATCCCAGACAGCCTTCACCATGTCTACTTTAAAATAAAGTAGCTCACCATCCAGAGGGGCAGCATCAGCCAAACATACCAGAATATCCTGGTAACATAATTCCTCTAAAAGACATTTTGAATCTGTCACATAATATGATTTTTGTGAGGTAACAACATCTGCGCAAAAAAGAAAAATAATGTACTTCATAATTATCACAGTACCGAGTTCATCTGGTTTTTATCTCTACTTGTATTTGGCTAGGAAATTCAGATGAAAAGTCTTAAAGTTGGTCAGCACTTCTCGAAGCTCCTCAACCTGAACAGAAACAGTGTTAGTAGTTAGAGGAGGACAAAATGTATAACATAAGACATTGTCATCCCATGGGTTTTAGTGACAAAGTGGTTAATTCATTAGCTACCAGGTTGCTCTTTCTCTATCAAGCACCAACATCCGGATGAGGATAACCTTATTATGTATAATGTTGAATCCTCCCCCCCCCCCCCCTCACTATCTCTCTCATAGAAACACACACACATATACAGAACCGTCTTCTTCAGCGTTCAATGGTTGCTATGCATCTTTTACAATTTGGGTCACAAACAGAAAGGTATGCTCAGGGTCTTCACCAGTACCCTAAAGTCTATCTTGTGAGGTCGCTCCTGTGGGGTCAGATTTCTTCCCTCAGCAGGACAATTGTATAAGACATATTCTGGAGTTTGCTCTGTGGCACCAGATCTTTGTGCTGCAGAGTTAGAATAACCCACTCCATGTAGGTGTGCCTACAGTTTACCCACACAAACAAATGTGCAATGATCACCTTAAAAAAAAAAAAAAAAAACTGTATACAACAACAAGCCACAATTTATCTGGACAATCCTGTCAGACATGGTACTGAGTTTGCTTTGGGACATCACAACAACATCCTGCTGAATCAGCAAGACCTCCTCAATGTATGTGTGCTCTTAAGTTTTTGAGCTCTGTTTTTCATGTGGAATGCCTTTCATTTTTGCAGCAACTGAGTCGTGGTATTCAATATGGCCGGTTGCCGATTTATGTGCGGGCTAGTGAAATACCTTACCGATGTGTGCATTGTCAACTTATTATGCCCGACTACTTCCATCAACGACAAACTGCATTTCTGGTGGGGACCGTTGGCTTTGGCGCCTCTAGCAACTACCATATGCATGTACTGCATGCATATATTTCTGGATTGTTCCAGAACTAATTGTTTGTTCACCAGTTTTCAAATGGGACAGTGAGGGACATTTAATTTGATTTTCACTGGCACAGGAATGGAGCAAGTATGGAGTGACTCGACTGCAGTGAAGCTGAAATCTTGACTAAGGCTTAATTTTATACAGACAATCAAATGTGCAATGACTACCCTGAAAAAACATCACACAACACTAATTCTCATATATAAGCTACAAAAAGCGCTTACATAGTAAAATATTGCTAGCAGACAGCAAGCAACAAATTCAACCATGATGAGCAAGACCAAACATGACTACCAACCGGCGGCAAGATGGTTGTGCGGAAGTGAAATGTCCCTTCCTCCTCCCTAAACCCACTGCCAGGCACGGTACAGATACCAGTCTCCTCCAACAGGGCAAAGCAATAGAAGCTGTCTGGAGTCTGACCAACCGCTTCCGCAGCCTTGATGGCTTTCTCTGGGAGATAGATGCGGGGGAAGGCATACATGGCTCCAGCGACCTGAAAACATTGAGGAGGTATAAAAGATAATTATTGTAACAACACAAATCTTCAACATTCTTCTTCTTTCATTCGCTTGAAATAGATTATACCGGCAATGTTGTCTCTGGTTTGAACTTCACTGTCTTTTGTAATTCACTCAGGGACCCGTAAAGTTTGACTTGCACTGATGTCTCTCTTGGCCAAAAGTTTTGCCTTGATATGTTGTATTTGGGACAGTCTTGGAGGACATGATCTGTTGTTTCAGGTGCCAATCCACATGTGCACATAGCTGATTCGCTGATTTTAAATTTTGTGTACATGTGGCTGCGAAGTCGATTGTGTCCTGTTCTAAGGCGTAGAATAATAACCTGCTCTGGTCTGTCCATAAAATGGTAATCTTCAACAGATAAAGCCTTTAAATTAAGACTTAAAAGCAATAATATAACAATTGAAGATGATATAACATGAACATTCCAACTAAAGGAACATAAACAAAATACAATGTGGCACTTGGAAAATGCACACATGATCATAGCTGTGTGAGGAAAGATGTTTAACCCTTTTAACATAAGAAGCTGAAAAACTGATGCTACTGATTTAGTTTGCACCTGCGCAAACATTTAGGAGGTCAGGGTATAAATACAATAATTGACACTAGCATTGGGCAAGGAAGGGGGGGGGGGGGGGGGGGGGGGGTGTCCTTTGAGCTTAAAAGCTTTTGGTTATTTATACGATGGCCTCCCCATTTACACATCACTGTTGTAGGTCAACTCCATTGATAAGTTGGCTGGACTAGTCTACCGTGGTCGAGGTTATGGGTGTCACAATCTGTTGTTGTCTGGCATTTACGTTTTTATTTCCAAGAAAGAGACAGCCTGTGACACAGGTTTTGCCACTCTCTATGAGGAGTTGTGCGTTAGACCCAGTATCTAAATGTTTTAGAAGTGTTAAAAGCTCTGACATGGTGAAATATACAACAAGTGGTGTGAGCGCGAGTGCGGAATATCCCAGTGACTGTGTGTGAAAGTCAGATTGCTCAAGGCAGACCTATCAGTTGTAAGGTGGTCCAATCAGAAGCATGCTAGTGTGTAGTGATGTGTAAATGGGGAGACCAGCATAAAATTTACCTAGCTTTTTAAAGCAAAGCTGACTGCAGATTTTCTCACAAGTATCCTCAGTCTCAGTGATAGAGGTCAGAGGTCATGACTGTCACCAAACACACGTGAGCATATTATATGACCCCCCCTCCCCCTTTTTTTTTCTCCTCCTCCCGGGATGCATTCTAATCAATACTTCTCCCCGTTTATGTTTACTGATTTCACTTTCCATATATCTTTACACATTTTAGAAAATAATTTTAAAATGTTGATAAATAAACGTCTAACAAATTTATTAGTGAACTGCATGCAAAAATTTTTTTCGGGAATTCTAGTAAAAGTGTGTATATCTCATAATAAAATTTAAATAGTGTATTTATCCATCCTTTCTAAACATTACAAAAGTGGGTATATTCATCCTTTCTAAATGTTACAAAAGTGTGAATATCCATCACTTCCAAACATTATAAGTGCCTATATCCTATCTACACATTACAAAAGTGTTTAGAATTATCATCATCTAAACATTTCAAAAGGTGTATATCTGAATCTAAACATTAAAACACTAGTTAGAATTATCCCCATCTAAACATTACAACAGGATCTGAACATCAAGGAAGATTGACTAATAAACAGCATCCTGTCTCGGAAGTTGAAATATTTTCGTCATATCAAACACCATGACGGATTGAAATAACATATTGCAGAAGGCATGGTACCAGGAAGGAGGGGCAGGGGCCGGCCGACACGAAGATGGGCACAAGATATAAGTGACTCCTTGAGTATAAAAGTACATGCGGCGGGAGAACTGGCGAGAGACCAAGTTTCTTTCAGGCAGACTGTGATGAGAGCGACATTCTGCAAAGGGCCTGCTACATGATGATGAAACATTACACTAGTTAGAATTATCCCCATTTAAACATTAAAAAAGTGTGTATATCCCACCCAAACATTTAGAATAAAAGGTAGAATTATACCACCTAAAAACTATAAAATCGCGGAGAATTAGAATTATAGGTAGAATTATAACACCTAAAAACTATAAAATCATGAGAAGGCGATTTTCTGTATTTGTATAGTTTGTGTAGTATAGTTTAATTTGTATGTGCTGATGAAGGCTCCGAAGCCGCAACGTTCACGTTTTGTTTGTATTTGTTATATTTTGAAGCTTGCTAATATACTTTTCATTCGGTTTTATATCTTTTCTTGATATTTTTATAGCTTCACAGCAGTTCATTAATCTCACCCACCTCGTGTGTCCCGCCCGCCAAGAACTGCTACTATCCTTTTATACATGTCCCATCCGTCCATATTGTCCAATATTACGGTTATTTTTTTTTTTTTTAAATATACTTTCAACACACATTTGTATTATTCAATTTTTTTATTATTCACTATTTCATTCTTTTTTTTTTTTACCTTCTCGGCTTCGATGAAACCAGCTAAGTGATTTTGTGAATTTGCGTAGTATTGTTTGATTTGTATGTGCTGATGAAGGCTCCATAGCCACAACGGTCAAGTTTTGTTTGTATTTGTTATATTGTGAAGCTTGCTAATATAATTTTCGTTCAGTTTTATATCTTTTCTTGATATAAAATCATGGAAAATTCCTAACTAATACAAATGTATATGGAATTTCACCATATAACAAGTACACTGGTAACTGTTCTTCAACATAAACATTACAAAGAGGTATGTGAATATGTTACCTCATTACAAGAGATTCCTTCAATAGAATTGAACAGCTGTGTTATCAAAGCCGCCTTTTCCTTCAGTTTAGCCAGAACATCCTCTTTCTCTCTGATGAAGAGCTCATATGATGGATCTCCTATCAACATAGGAACATATGGAATGAGACATACAGATCCCAAAATGAATGTGTAAACCAGAAACCGGTGGTTTTCAACCTAGACTAGGGCATAGACGTTTTGGATGGGGAAAAGGGAGTGGGGGAGGGATCTATGAATTTTGAATTTGGGTGCATTTGTATTTGTAATAATCTGCTATACTTGCTGATTTTTCTTTTCTTTTAGTATTTCTCTGTGTCTTGTTTGATGGTGCCAGTAACAGTTTCATTATATATCCATCTTGCCTTTCCTCTCAGTGTAGTGTGTCGACCAGATTCCCTGGTCACGCCCAGCTGTACCCTTCTCTCCAGACCATAATGATCAATTCGTGCCAGCAGAATGTTTACCTGCTTCCAAAGGGCCTTGACCACATCCAGTTTTTCCTGCATAAATTTACTAACCACTGGTGCAGAACCGCCAATCTGCCTGCCTGTTAGTTTTTCTAGACGTCATAGGTTTCAATCCTCATCCAGTGGGGTTTCAAAAACTGACCTGAACTTCCAGGTCACGCCAGCCTTAAAACCATCATCATCCTCTCGGGCCATAATAGTGCAAAGGGCTAGCAATCAATTCCTCTATCCTGTTCTACCCTATGCAATCCTTTCCAAATAAAGGATGGAATCTAGTCCAGCACCTCAGGTCGGTGTCATCAATATTTGTTTTAGGGCTTCTCTTTGATGTCCTCACTTCCCCAATACATCTGTTTTCCAGTTCACTGCCTAGGTCAGTGATTCCCAAACTGTGCCCCCCGGAGAGCCGCGACCTCTTCACAGGGGCGCCGCAAAATATTCGAAGATACACGAGTATTATTTTTTTTTTTCAATCTTTTACACTTGAATAGTCATACATTTTACTCTGAATTCATTTTGACAACTATGCACAAATGTACACAATTCTTTACCTTCTAGATTAAAATGTAACAATTCAGGTGATTTTAATCATGAAGAGATATCCAATTTTAATTTGAACAAAGGTATTTGATTCTAATAATGGGTGGAGATATCCGATTACTTTTATCATGTGCAGAGATATCTGATTATTGTAATCATACAAAGATACCTGATTGCTGTAATCATATGTAGAGTGTAAGATTACTGTAATTACAGGCAGAGGTGTCTGACTTTAATCAAGCTAGAGATATCTGATTTTAATCATATGTGGAGATAACTCGTTACTGTAACCATGTGTATAGAAATCTGATTTCAAACATGTATGTTGAAATCTTATTGTTATAACCATGCATAGAGACATCTGAATACTGTAAACATATGCAGAGATGTCTGATTTTAACCACACATACAGATATCTGATTTTAATCATTTGTGAATAACATATATATGGAAGTCCTCATGGTATAGCGGCTAGATGCTCACGTGCGGATCGGAAGGTCATGGGTTGGCTCCTTGGCAGAGCCAGACTTTTTTCAAAAATGACCTTGACTCCCAGGTCGACCTAGCCTTGAGTGAGTACCGGGTGCAGTCCCGGGAAGTAAAGGGAGCCGGCGTGATGCTGACTACATCACCCATCTTGTGCCGACTGATCTATAAAAATATAGGTCTAGCCCTATATGCCTAAAAGTGTGGAAAAGGGACCTTTACTTTACTTTTATATGTAGAGATAGCGTTACCTGGCTTGGGTGTATTCACCACACAGTCCACAACAGCCTGACCAGAAATTGGGGGGCACAGCTTGGCTGAGATACTCTTGTAGTAGTTCGCTCTCACTTCTGGCAACAAGTTAATCACCTTAAAAAAAAAAAAACAGTATTAAAACATTACAAGCATTCTCTGTGTGTGTGTGTGAGAGTGTGTGTTTGTGTGTGTGTACCCCCGTGTGTGTGCATGCGCCCGCACGCGTGTGTGTGTGTGCATGCATGTGTGTGTCACTGTCTGTGAGAGAGAAACACTGAACGAGTAAGTGACGTTCAACACCACCATGACCGCAAAACAAGAGATAAACTAACAGTGACACGAAGTACCGCCGTCAGGATGAGAGTCCCATAACGTAAGTCCCAGAAACCCCGTTAAATTGTTCGGTTATATTAGAGCTCCCAAAAACAGCTGGGGATGGATAGAGACAGGCAGGCGTGCAGACAGATTTATGTAATGTTGCTTGCTCCAATTTTTTTTTTCATTTGTGATCAGCTGTCTTTATGTGTCAGTTTACCTGCAAACAATTTTCATTAGTCTAGTTGTTAGTCCCAACATCATTGCAGAGGGGTCCTCCCATAACTACTCCCTTTCTGTACCAGTGGAAATCAGAAAAAAATATCTATCACTGTTCCATTTAAAGAAAATTTATGAAAAACTTGTCAGTCTCAACAAAATCCTGATGCTTGCACATGCAAACATGCATGCGGCAACTGTCAGTTGTGCAAACACCAATGGTCCCACACCAGAATTGTAGCTCACTGTTACTGCAAATGGCCAATTACACGTGTACCCGCAAAAGTACATGCCATTTTGAATGTAAATAGCATTTCATAAATATAAAAAACATTTTACATGAAATCCACAGCTCACAGTGTCACACCAAGCACTCAACTCAGCTGCTGGTCAATGGAACCTTTGGACTTCTAATCCAGAAATGGGGAATCTGCATCAGCAAAACCTAGTTTTGAAACTAACTTTTCAGACAGTCATTGATTAGCCGGCTATCAGCCATTTCGGCTGGAGGTATCTACTAATTTCTAAGAAAGCCACGGTATTGTAATGATGAACATGCTTGCTTGCGGTACCGTAAGCTTAATCCTATTGTCCCTCTGAATTTTCAGGGACTGTCACCTTCTGGTTTCTTCTGAATAATCTGCACTGCTGTTAATAATGGAGTCAATGTGTGAAGCTACAATATTTTTAATTTCTTCACCAACTGCAAAATTTTTGCTGGTTGATATGGGATTTCTGGATATTATATTTGCTTATTTCATTTTAACAGAAATTTTGTAGTCTTCTTTGCATCTTTTAACAGAGCTAACAGTTCTAGTAATTAACAATGAGAGGAAGGCACTGTCATCTGGAATCATGCTTGTCCCAATAATAAACTGGGGGGAAAAGTTGTCACTAATTTAAAATAATTACATCATCACCTTCACCACCCTGCTGTGAGGTTTATACAGCATGTATGGCTCACAGTTTACTCACCCTTTTCCATTCACCTGTGCAGTCTTTTCTATATAATGCACGGAATCCAGTCCAAAAACCTTAGGCTCTCAAAAAGATACTGAATGTAGAATTAAGAATTGACACCACAGAACTTGGGATATTTCCATAAGCATTCTGTCCCTATCTTAAAAACAGCAAGCGAAGAGTTCTAGTTCTAATGGTGCCAGTAACAGTATGATTGTATAATCATCTTGCCATTCCCTTGAGTGATGAGCATCAGTCATATCCCCTAGTCACTTCTCACAGCACCATTCTCCTCAGACCTATTTGTTCCACTGCGCTGTTCACACATTCTCAAAGGACCCTTACAACAACAAGCTTGTCAGGCTTCTGTTCATCACTAAGTGATGCAGAACCAGCCCATCTATCTGCCTGTTGATTTCCCAACACACCTGCATCACCTGGAGAAAATATCCAAAGGATGCTAACTACCCTGGACCTCTGAAGTGATGCTTGCCACACTGCACGGAGTATCCCTGTCTCCACCTGTTAAAAAGATTACACACTGAATCAGCTAACAGCATTTAAATGATGTTAGATATTTCTACTGTACAGACAACAACAAAAACTAACCTCTGCATAGCCCCCTCTGTATCCACACTCTCCCATGAAACCCTTGGATGCAGACATAAATGAGGCCAACTCCATCTGATCATAGGGAGACCCCAGCTCCATCAGCGTCTGCTTGAAGGAGAAAAAGGCAGCGCCCTCTGCATAAATGTTGTGTTGATAAACTTCATCCGCTAAAATAAAGAGCTTTTCTCTCTTGGCAAACTTGATAATTTCCTGGATGTTTTCCTTGGTGAGCACAGATCCTGTTGGATTACCAGGATTGATGACAACAATGGCTCTAGGCTGGCAGTGAGGACGGGCTTCTGCAATAGAACGCTCTAATTCTGCAACATCTAAAGACCATTTATTCTTTTCATTCAGGTAATAGGGAATTGGATAGGCACCATATTCTGAAATAGCTGCGGAGTACAGCGGATACTGAGGGATTGGGATCATAAATCCTGCTCGGTCATTTCCTCCCTTGGCTGTCAACAGCAGAGTCATGACCGACTTGATGGCATCGCTAGCACCTGTGCTCAGAACAACATGAGAAGGATCAGAAGGGTAACCATCTCTCTCAGAGATGTACCTGGCAACATCTTCTCTGATAACTTGAAGTCCACAGCTGTCAGAATATGAACCTATGCTATTACCTTTACAGTCATCTAGAATCCTTCTAGCCCTGGCTTTTACATCCTCGGGGAACAAATCTGAATCCAGCAGATCTGGGTAATTGCACAGAGCCAGCACCTGGCGAATAAATGTAATTGGTTTCTGACCAGTAGCATGACAATCCCCGATGTTTGCCTTCACCACCCGAGTGAATGGTTTCTTCACACCAGCTTTCAGCTCCTTCTCTAGCTCTGTGGCTCTGATCACAATGGGGCCTCTCACAGCGTACTGCAGCTCTAGAACATTGGGGTTGAGGGTTCCCAGCGTCAGCACATGCTCATCTATTGATCCCATTTTGTTCTTTGGTTATAGACAGTCACCTGGAATAAATAAAAACCCATGCTTCACAATAAATGTCAATTGATCACCTAGTTTCAGAATAACACTTTTTAATTTATTGTTGGCGTTTGCGTTGCGAACACATTTTGTAATGCCGTGATGCCAGGTTTGATCCCAGCTGCAGATGTTTTGTCTTGCGTTGGTACCATGAGCTGACTGATCAGAAAGCAATGGCAAACTAGTGAATGTAAAATTTGCCTAGAAAAATCGCAACAACCAAAAATGCTGGGTTGATTCTGAAACATACTGTAAAGGATAAGCAACTAACTTATTCTGGCATCTGTGGCTTAACTCTCACAGCATCAGCAAATCATTTCTTATTTAAACTCTATGAGTTCTACTTTAAAATAGTCAGTACTTAAGTGTAAAAAAAGTTACTCATTGCCCATATTTTTTTAAGGAGACAATATTTATTCTCTGGTCATGTCATGAGAAGGAGAAAAGAGGCAGAGGGAGGCCAAGAAATAAGATGCTTGACAGTCTGACATTACAGCATAGCAGATCCTCTGTGTCAAAACTGACTTAAATTAAATAAGACAGAAGGTTGTGGACAGACATAACTACTAATGCCGCACTGCATGGACAATAAAAAGAAGAAGAACTAAAAAGAAGAAGAAGAACTAAAAAGAAGAAGAAGAAGAAGAGTTAAATAACACTGAATACCAAAATAGGCTGAGGTGGACAGAAAGTTAATATATTAACTATCCATGATATAAATTAGTATAAATTGCTGACATCACTTGCACCCACCACTGAACATTTGTTTAATAGTGATTTAAGAATCAACATCAGGCATACCCACAGATGTTTGTCCTCCACAGTAAACGTTTTAAAATGTAGATGCTTACCGTTCCTGCAGCACATTAATTATTCAGGTGTCATTTTTCTTCCTCTCATGTGTCTTATTCCAAGTTCACACATTTTAACACATTATTTTATCTAACCTTGTGCCTTCTATCTGCATTTGTTGATAAATGGTCTTCAGAATGTCCACTTTGTCCAGTCTGTAGTTATCACTTTTGCAGCCAGCAAAATTAGCTCCTTCATTCTCTCGCATTCCTGCATGCCCATGCTGTATATCCACTTGAGTCTCTATATTGCTGAATGCTGATGTCTGGTTTCCACTCATGACATGTGTGTCCGTTTTGAACCTATCAGAGTACCAACTGAAAACCTGATAACTCTTCCTACTTTCCACTTCAGAGCTGCACTGAGTGCTTCCATTATCATCTTCATCTTAAACTTGTAGATAAAAGAGCAGCATTTTGTTCTGTCACAATTTGCCCCTTCATTCTAGCTGAAAACCTCCAGCCAGATCTTCACCCTGCTGAAGAAAACCACTGATGTACACCAGGGAAAACCATTGGTGTACACCAGGGAAAACCATTGGTGTACACCAGGGAAAACCATTGGTGTACACCAGGGCTATTCAACTAAGTTTGCACAGGGGCTAAAATCTGAAAAAATGGGAACACTCACAGGACCAAGCCCCAACATAGAAAGATCATTAATACAATATTGTTTGCAATGATCCGTGGACTTGTTTGGCCTCTTTGGGCCAGATCTAACCCTTTGGCCACCCGGTGAATATACAATTTGTAACATCTAGCCCAGTATTTTCATCCAATAGTTGTTGTACCAATAATTCTGCCACATAGTTACACCACTTTTTACATTCTCTTCCCAATGTGATAATCATTTTCCTCCTCTTCTGTCCTAGTTTATGAAGTGAAGCATCGCAACGAGGAGTTAAATGTAGTTTCCTGTCTTTTGCTAGTGTGTAGGCATGTGTTATTATCATATTGCGTTTGTATTATGTCTCTTTTGCTCCATCCATCTTTCGGCTCCTCGTTTGGAGTCTGCTGTTCTCATGTAGTATGCTCTAACTGCTAGCTGATTTTGTTCCATTCTGTCCAGATGACCAAACCATTTCGTTTGTGAAAAACATTATAATGACCCGATGGAAACTTCTGTTTGTGTTAGTAAACTGCCTGGTACCAACAGAGTAAAGATTTTACAAATTTTGTTCATAATTCCTAAATATCTGGTTTAATTCAGCTGCATGCAATTTAGTGCCAGACCTCTTTGTGTTGATTCTGACAACAGTATGCAGCATCAATCAGTCAGAAGGCAATGGCAAACTACTGAAGATACAAGTGCCTAGTAAAACCACAAACAGCCATGAAATGCTGGACTTGGGTTGCAATGTCCTGTGAAAGAATTTTTTTTTAAATTTTGCAAGTGCTGCCTGACTTGCTAGTGCAGTTGGTTAAACCTGATTTTGCGGCGACTGGGTGACAAACTCCTTTTAGTCCGGGTTCACGCCCAGGGGTAGGCAGAAAAGCCACATTTCTCCCAGATTTACGGTATCTATCGCGGAATCAAGGCCGAATGGTTGCGATATCCATAGTACCGAGCCAAAGGTGGTTTCTGGATACTTGACCCCAAAAAAATTATATAAGTGCCAGACAATAAAGCTGCATTTGCCACACAACTGTTTACTGCCTACTCCTTACAGCACAGAAGTGCATATGAAACTTCCCATCATCAATTATGAGACTATGTTGGCCTTTTTTAATATGCATGGCGTGGATTGGGGCTAAACTAGACGGCTGGGACTCACGAGCAGCAGCTACCGCATCTCCTGCAGCTTCCTTCATTTTATTTGCTTGTGAGTCCCAGCCATCTAGTTAAGCCCCAATCCACGCCACACGTAGCGGCGTGGGAGATACTCTCGGTGGTGGCGGCGTAGTCCCTGGAAGTCTGCAATTCAGCGGTGGAGGTATAGTCCCCCAAAGTCTGCAATTGACATGTGACTGAGGCCTTGTTAGGGTATATTTTCGGCCTCGATAATTTGAGATCGTTATTCGGTGGACAGCTTATAAACAATATGTGTCATGCCAAAGGTATAGTATTGATCGCTGAAATGTGCAGGCTTGGTGACTTTAACAACTGTTGACTGGACATTTATACGACAATAGACGGCAAAAATGGACTCAAATGACTGCTTAAACAACAAACTAGTTAGTAAGTGGCACTGCATCGTTTAATTGCATATTTCTTCTCTTCTATCAAAGATTTTTAACACAGGAAACTTCATAACAAAGTTTTAAAAGCTAGTCCTCCGTTTGAAGCAAGCTTCTTAGATCTTGACTGACAATAACCGAGATAACATTGAATAGTACATAAGCATTCAAAATCATGAAAATCGCGTTTAAAAAAAGCTTGCAAGAGCTTGTAAAATTCTTTACATGTCATTCGGCATAAACAATTCAGCGATAAATGTACCAAAGCAAAAGAAGCGTACGTTTCCAGGTGATGGATTCGGTAATGAAAGGTTATTTCGCTCCAACTTGTGGAGCTGGAAAAGATCACGTAGGTAAACCTGATAAATTGGTTCGTCTATATCAGCAGACACAGCAGCGACGTGCTGACGAGTTGTGTCCCTTGTGGGTTACGTACATCCGCCCCCCTGATACCAGTGGCTGCCACCAATGTCCAGGTCGTCGAGGTTAAGCTGGATTATCTTATTGAGGGATCCCACAGGCTGGCCAAAGTCTATGTCAGATAAGAGAATCTGTTGTGTGCGGCTTCGTGTGTGCTTAAGTGAACGATAAGAAAGTTAGGCGGGAAAGGGTAGGTGCGTGGTAAATCCCATGCATCTCTGCTTGTCCTCGCAGGTAGAAAAACAAAAGCGTGATTGTCCTAAAACCAGACCGTTGCTTACAATAATTTTTGCCCGTAAAACCAGACCGTTGCTTACAATAATTTTTGCCCTAAAGACGTGTTACGGTTATTTTTGGAGAAGATGTCTTTAGAAAAAAGATGTTTCAGGGGGTTTTCAACGTCTTTTTTTAAACAAATAACTAATTACATAACATGTTTTATTTAATTTAAAAGGTTAATATCAATTGTATTATTTATTTATAATAATTTATATATTCATTACTTTATAATTCAGAATATCAGCTGCGTTGGTCTGGTCACCTAGCCGGCATGCCAGACTATCGCCTTCCAAAGAGGGTATTTTATGGCGAGCTTCAGCAAGGGAAGAGGTCCCATGGAGAACAGAAGAAAACGTTGTAAGGACACTCTCAAAACTGCTCTCAGTTCTTTTGGCATCAACACAGCGACGTGGGAGGCTGCTGGACAAGATCGTTCTGGATGGCGTACATCCCTCGGGCATGGTGGATCAGCCTGCTAGGCAGCGAAGGTTGCACTGGCAGAGAAACGGAGGCAGGCTAGAAAGAAACATGTCGCTAATCCCACACTTACTGCGACTTTCACCTGTTGTCGGCACTGCTCAAGTATAAAATCAAACAAAAATTCCAAGCTTAGTCCTTTTTTAGCCGCCTGATGGCCTGCTTTTTCAACACTGCTCAAGAACTTACCGGGCTCATATTTGACTAATCAGCCACCTTCGTACTCATAATCATTGCAACTTTAGATAAAAGGTGCTTTTTATCATTCGTGATGGAAGAACAACTTCCTAATTCAGTACAACCGTTGCCCTATATTACAAGTACGCTAACAAATCATTCTGAAGTCTATTTTTGGGTTGATCTTTTTTTTTTTTTCCGTATGGCACGGTAGCATCAATGACAAGAACAAAAACATGAACAGAAGAAGCATGATGAGGAAGAAGAGCGAGAGGGATAAGTAAAAAGAGAAGAGCAAGCAGGAGAGTGTTAAAATGGGAGGTGGAGGGAAAGATCATGAAAAGAAGGAAGAGAAAAAAGAATGGGGAGGAGGAGGAAAAGAAGAAAACGACGAAGAAGGGGAGGAGGACGAGGCGGGGTAGTGGGAAGGTGGAAAAGTAAAGCAACCAAAAAAAAAAAAAAAAGGAGAAGAGGAGGGCCAACAGAATAAGAATAAAAGGTGTAAGAATAACGAGCATAGCAAAAAGAAGAATTAAACTGTTCATTGAGTTATGGTTCTTAGATGATGATATGATT